CACACCACACAGACACGTACCACACACACACACCACACACACACACACACCACACAAACCACACACACACACAACATATGCACACACACACACCACACCACACACACACACACACACACACCACATACACACCTCTCCTTAGTCAGTTATATGAAGCTAGTATTCAAGGTAGAGGTTTGGGCCATCTCAGACAGTTTGCTCATTTTCCTTGAGGATCTCCCATATATACATGAGGTAAACATGGATAATAAATTGTTTGTTTTTCTCTTGTTAATTTGACTTTTATCACAGAGGGTGTCAGCCAGTAATATAGAGGGTGGAGGGAAAATTATTTTCCTCTGCTACAAGGTCAAGGTAAGGAAAACCACATTCTGACATAAAATCCATTCCTACCACCGCAGATTTGCACTGTAACCATTAAAATTGATTATCTCTTGGAATCTCAAGGAAAAAAAATTATCTCTTAAAGTTAAGCCCTTGCCAGTCAAAACAGACTGTGTGGGTTAGTTAGGACTGTGTCCTTCAATCTTGGGGAATTATTATTAGATTAAAATAAAATAGATAGGTCTTTCTCTTTCAGTCTCAACACAAGGTAAAAAAAAAAAGAACCTGTTCCAGAACTTCCCTTTTCTCTCTCAGTCTCAACATAAGGTAAAATTAAAGAGATCTTGTTCTGGAACTTTCCCAATATTAGTTTAGTACATAAGAGCATATATTTGAGGCTAACAAAACTTGAAATGTGTCTTAACTATTTTAAGTTATTCATTAATTAGAAAAATTTCAAAACCCTTACTTTTATACTGGCTTATTTCAATATTATCCTGAATGGAGAAATTCTATTTAAGTTTTACATGAATAAGAAAGGCTTCTATATTTTCTCCATACTCCTTCCCATTCCATTTCACTAGTACATTACTCTTGTGAATAATTTATAGATTTTAGTATTCAACACTCTTCCTTTTTATTATCTTCAATGAAAGTGATTACTATTCATGCCAGAACTGAAGCTTAAAGTTTTCTACATTGAAATATATCCTTGGATCTTTATTATGAATTTGTTTTCTTTCATTTATACTATTATCCTGTCACTTTTACTCAGCTGAAAATAGTGACTGAAGCTGAAAACATGTGGTTTTTGAACATATTTTTTATATTTCATGTATTTTAAAATTTCTCAGATTTTGAAGATAAGAATTCTTATAAGACCTCATTTAATGCATCTTAGGAAATGCTTTTGTTTTTTTAAAAAAAATCACAAGTAAAACATATAATTGTCAAACAAATTTCTCTCTATGACAACATGATAGGCTTTGTTGATAGCAAGAAAGAGAGAATATGATACATCTTGTCTCCGATAAAGCAGCTCCGTCTCTTCCAAATGTCACTTTTTAAAAAATTATCAGCACTGAATATGTTTTACATAATATGGTTGTGTAGGTATTCTACTAGTCAGGAACTTAAATTCAGTGATTAGCAATCTGTAATTAGTATTGTTTCAGGGGAAGTTTTCCAGTTCTTCTGCCAATCTTTGCCTGATACAATCTAACATTTTTAGCAATAACTTATAAAGTAGAACTGCAACTTAGTTGGCTAAAATTTGAGAAATTATAAAATAGTGTTGGAATAAAAACAATTTTGAGAAATCCCTTTCATAATCAATGCAGCCACAATCTCCCCTGAGAATCTATTTTGACCTACAATTCTAGATGAGGGGTCTCTCCTAATGTGTTCATCAGAAACCATGCATTACCCTCTATCTCAGTATTTTATTTTTTCTGAAGGAAGCAATCTCAAATTTTTATTGTCTTCATAATAAAACAAAATATGAAGCTCAGAACTGGATCACTTGGTGCTTTCTCTTCTTATCTCCTCCCAGCTCAAAATGCTTGCATCTCTTAATAGCCAGCATTCTCTTAGATCTGCAGTTGGGTTCAACACATTCAAACCTCAGCACAGTCTTCTTTGTAGTTTTAGCCTTTTTCTGGAAAATCAGCTTAGTCTGCCCACCATAGTCACTCTGCTTCCTGTCATAAAGCCGCTTTCCCCAGGCATACAGAGACTCCTTGCCCTTCTTGTATTGTGTCACTTTGTGGGGTTGGTGCTTGCCCTACTAAGTCTCGTTTACAAATCAGAGGCATGAAGGAACAGCACAGAAGCGAGCTGTAACAGATTCATTTCTGTCTGAGCTCAGGGAGTTTTAAGTTCCTTAAGCTCCTTACAGAAAGTCCAGCAGGTTTTAGGAATATTCACCGTGTTTGTGAGAGCGCCATCAACACGGAAAGAGAGAGACCTGGAGGTAAACTGAAGTACCTCAGTATTTTATACACTAGCAGTTCACTTGTCTGTCCCCTTCTTTTGAGTGACAGCTCCTGGAAAGTGGGTAATGTCTTACATATCTGAATCTCCAACAACTTATATGTTTGAACTTAATAATTTTATATTGAATTAATGAAGCATGCCAAATTTTCATATAATGTTTACCCAGAGGTGTTTATTAGTTTCAGCAGAGGAAGTAATTTAATGAAGGTTAAAGTTTGGAACACTCATGATTTTTATCAGGTCATTAAAAATGAGGTTTCATAGAAATGCAGAGCAATAGGTACGTGGATATGAATTTTCTGAGTTAGAAATCTCTAAAAAGTGAGGGTACATTATCCATTTATGTAGCTGACAAATATTTATTAGACACCTTCCTATGCCAGCCTCTTTCCAAAATGGTAGGGGACAATGTAGAAACAACAGTTGTCCTGTGATCACAATTTTTTTGTTTGAATAGGCAAGAAAGACAATAACAATGTAAAGCACTAAATGGATAGTACTCCAGAAAGTGTTAGAAACTCAAAAAAAACTTGATTTTATTTTAGATTGAGTAGTCAGGATATTCTCTATATCACTGACATCTAAGAAGAAATATAAATCAAAGAGAAAGTTGTGCAAACATCTCACGAGAGAACATTCTAAGAAGAGGAAACAGAAAATACCAAAAACCTGAGGTGAGAGAATGCCTCACATATTTAAAAAAGAGTAAGGCATCTGACACAGCAAGGAATGGTGACCTCAGAAAAAGTGGGAAGACATTTGATTAGAGATAGCAGGCTCTACAGTAGTTGACCACTTACAGGGATGGGGGAGGAAAACATTTTCTTCAACCCTTTTATGGTCCTTGTCTGGGACTGAAGATTAAACTGACAAAGACAGAACAAGAGAAAAGCATACAAATTTAATTGAAATTTTACATGTACATGGGAAACTTCACAGGAGAATAAGGACTTGGGGAAGTGACCAGAACAAGAAGTGTTTATTCCTTTTAGACAAATAAACAAACAAACAAAAAAAAATTAGCTTGTGCAGAACTGAAAGGCAAAGGGGCAGTAAATGGTGAAGAAGTAACTGGGAGGATAAGGGTTATTTAACAAAATTTGTTTGTATAGATTTCTCATCCCCAAATTCCCTTTCCCTGGTGGCAGAATATATTCCTCCTCAGTATAGGGAAGGTTCTATGACCTGTTTCTCAGAAAACGTGTGAGGGGAGGGAAGTCAGCGACCTTCCTGCTTCTGGCATTTTCTGAAATTCCTTCCGCTCAAGATATTCAAGGTGCCAACATGCCATATTTTAGGGAGGTGTGTTCCGAACCTTATCATAGATCATGTAAGCATTTGGGTTTGAATCTAAGAATAGTGTGAAATTTGTCGTTGAGGTTTCTGAGCAACACTTTGACATGCTCTACCTTATGATTTTGAAAAGTCTTTACTGTTTTGTGGGAAATGTACATCTCCAAGAGAGGAATCAGGGAGGCCAATCAGGAGATGTTTACCAGAGTCCAGGTGGCTGGACATGAATAGCAAAGGTGAAAGGGATGGGAAACAGCCAGATTCTATATGGTTTATGTTGGTAGAGCTGAATAAATTCTGATTGATTGGATAAGAATGTAAACAAGTAAATCACCGATGATCCCAGATACCTCGGGCTGAAACAACTGGAAACTGTTGTTTCCATTCCCTTTATTAGTATCATTCTGACTAATAAAGTTACAAACTTAGAGCTGAAGACAAAAATTTATTTAGTTTAATAACAGGAAATGTTTATTTTAATTTCTTACTCTAATTTCGATATCTAGAAATAAATTATATTATTAACTTCCTGTGGAAAGTTATTATGTGATAAATCTAAATTTTAAAACTTGGCAAATTTTAATACTGCAAATGATTTAAAGAAAAGTGTCCATCTAATATTTTATAATGCAATAAATAAGCTAACACTATTTATCTTTGAATCTTATGATTTGTGATAACTATATATATATATTTTTTTTTTGATCTTTGCCCACAGTTTCTGACACACAGCTCCAAAAACTTTTGTCATTTTCTATATAAGAGATATAGGGCATCATTTGTTAGAATATTAATTTTTCTTCTCAGTCCTGAAATAGCTCCAGATCAGGCTGATTTTTATACCTATTTTTATTTTTATCAAAATTTCTGATTTTCTTTGCTCACAGTTCAGTGATGAAATTAGTCTCACTTCTTATTTTTGTGGTGAACTTTCTTCCTTACTTTATTATTCTTCCTATTCATAATCATGTACTGTTTGGGGAGCCAAATTTTACCTAGAATCCCACCTTCAACTTCCCAGTTTTCAGTGTTCTGTACTTTGAGTTAAGAAGCTTTTAAAGTGAAAACAATTATCTATGATACCTTATGGTATCAGTAAAATTTGTATTTAAATTTCTTTGGTTTTAGTTGTGGATGATAAGCACACACCTGCACCTACACACATGTATGCACACATGAACACATGCACACAGAATTGTAGGTAAGAAAGTGGAGGTGCAATATGATTTTACTATTAGACTTAAAGATTATCTAGTTTGTACCACTTAAATATGTATACATCATATATAAAATATATATGTGTATATAAAACATAAAGTAAATATATATTTTATAATGTATTTTTAACAATCAAAGTAATTTTTCACCTTGAAATCTCTTTTTAACTCCAGACAGTAACATTTGTCAGGAATTTGGGGTACTTGTTTAATAAAGATTTTGTATGTTTCAAAGATCTTACTTTCATGAGTAAGATATTTTCCTGAGGGAGTACTTTATCTAAGTTATATACACTGCCACCTTTATTAGGTTGGTCTTACCTTAGGTATGGTTAGGGAATCATTTCTGTGCAAATAGCAAGGATTTCCCTCTAGGTCTATGCTTTTATCTGTGTATAAGAAGGATTCATTTCCAAAATTAATACACTGCTAAGGTATACCTGAAACCCTAGAGAAGGTGAAGTGTCTGTTATAGCACAGAAGTGGTATTCAAACAGAACCTTACTTGACTGATAACAATCCTAGATTTCTGCTTTGCCTTCCAGAAAGTTCAGAATTCCATTAAATGCTGAAATGCAATAACAAACTCAGGCAGATGTGCCATACACCTAATTCTTCTCTTTGTTCTTTAGATTTGGGTCTCTGTAATTTTTTAAAAATATTCTTATTTTTTAAAAAAATTAGTATTGAAAGACGTTTCAAATTGAAACTTGGTAGAATATAAATCATAGTTTTTTAATGATAAAAATATTATTTTACTTTCAGCAAAAAGTCTTTCATGTTGTTTTGGCCTTGATTAAGTACTAATAAACATTATTTTGGACTGTTAATACCATTATCTAGTCAGAGGCTAATATTTGTGCATTATTTAATAAGAAAGCAAAAGACTATTGAAGCCCATGGTTTCCACCTCATGCTGTAGAGAACTATAAGTAGCATCATTCTATCATTATCACTAAAAGAAGCTTGGCTAACTTCAAATTCATACCTTTTTGCGAATGCATTAGAACACTGTGGTCACAGAGCACAAGTAATGCCCCCAAATCTAAGGAGAGACAGTGTTTTCAGGGAGAGAGGAGCCAAGATCTTGCACTTTTCTTTGAATATAAAATATGTATACATATAGCTGACTCACTTTGTTGTACAACAGAAACTAACACAACATTGTAAAGCAATTATACTCCAGTAAAGATATAAAAAAAAAAGAATATGTAGAAATATAAATAAATTAATTAATTAAATTAAATGAGACACCAATATGAACAGTTTAAGTAGAATAGTCAACAAACTGGTGAAGGCTGTGTGTGGACTGGTGAGATAGTGTGAAAGTTGGAGGAATCTACCATCTTGCAGTCTATTTCTCCAGAAACCCTACAAGGCATTCAGAGAAGGAATCTAATAGAGCCCTAAGAAGTGTCTATTACGGTGCAGACCTGGGGAGAGGAGCAGCACCCATGCAGAATGGGCGAGAAACACTGCCTAAATTCTTATCTGCAATCTCCACTGTGGAATAAAAGTTTTAACCTGACATAGGACATGCAATGGCACTCATGCTCTTAAACATTGTTAAACATTTGTTACAACAAGTGGAAGGAAAAAGAAAGGTTGTAAAAATCCATTCTTGACAGAGGAACAGTGTTACATGATGAGCCTATAACTGTAACCAGGTAGGGGCAAACAAACTGAGGAAGGCATACCTCCAAGTCCCAGACACATGGTACAGGTCTAAGATTGAGCCAGAATAACTGATTGCACATACTAAGAAGCCTCCCATAATAAGTAACAACAGAATACTGATGAGGGAGGGATGGGAGAGGAATAATAGTATGCAGGGAGACTGATTCTGAGGCACAGAAGAAAGGAAAATCCTAAAACTAATAATTCAACAGGAATTGATCCAATAAGCCTCACTCCACTGTAGAAACAAAGTAATTCTACAGGAATTTGAAAATTTTGGCACACTGTGGGTAACCATACCAACAACAAATCTTAAGGTTAGTCCATATCTTAACCAGATTAATCATAACCTCCAAGACTAAAATTTTAGCCAAAGGAAAATGTGTTTATTTTCAGGCAAAAACTCTGTTTTACTGTTCTACAGAAAATATTAAGAAGTATATGAAAAGAAAAGAAAAATGGCCACAACTTCAAGAAAAAAGGTAATCATTATTATAGGTCAATACAAATTAAGATAGGACACAGAACTTGGAACTTTTTAACAGGGCATTTAAAACAAATGTGGTGAGGAATGAAGTCAGTAAGATGGCAGACTAGGAGATTTCAGCACTTGTCCTGTTGCAGAAACATCAATTAGAACAACTATCCACAAGTGAGAATATCATTACAAAAGCTACAGAATCCAGGTGAGTGATTACAGCAACTAGGTAGAGAACAGAAGTAAGAAAAGATGCACTGAAGAGGGTGGAAAGGATAGTTTCACTATCTCCCAATCCTGGGGAGAGTAGCACTAAGGTATTCTTGGCATTTGCGGTAAAAGACTGAAGTGAGTACCTGACTTCACTGTGAACCATGGCATCTGGTCTGGTCTGGTGAACTCCAGTCACAGGCCAGCATCCATAGCCCCAGTTCAGCAAACTGGAAGACAGAATAGTGGAGATTCCCTAAACTGAACAGAAAAAAAAAGTGAATTTAAAAATTTAGGAGACCACAGGGGCAACATCATGTGTACTAACATTTGCATTTTAAGGGTTCCAGAGGAGACAAGACATAGAAAGAGGCAGAGAACTTAACTGAAGAAATAATAACTGAAAACTTTCCTAACACTGGAAAGAAAACAGACATCTAGGTCCAGGAAGCATAGAAACTGCTAAACAAAATCAATCAAAGAGGTCCACATAAAGACATACTGTAATTAAAATGGCAAAATATAAAGATCAACAGAGAATCTTAAAAGCAGCAAGGAAAAAGCATCTAGTTATGTACAAGGGAACTCCCATAAGATTATCAGCTGACATTTTCAGCAAAAACTTTGCAGGTCGGAAGGGAGTGGCTCAGTATATTCAAAGTGATGAAAGGAAGAAACCTACAACCAAGAATACCCTACAAAACAAGGCTGTGATTCAGATCTGAAGAAGAAATAAAGATAAACAATTTTACAGACTAGAAAAATATAGAAGTGTACAGCACCACAAAACCAGCTTTACAATAGATGTTAAAGGGACTTCTTTAAGGGGAAAAGAAGAGACCAAAGCTAGAAATATAAAAATTAGAAAAGAAAAATATAATTAGTGAAGGCAAACACGCAGTAAAAGTGTGGGTCAACCACTTATAAATGTAGTTGGAAAGTTAAACGACAAAAGTAGTAAAACCATCTATATATATATAATAAGTAGTTAAGATACACACATGTAAAATATCATGCCCAAAACATTAAATAACAAGGGGAGTCAAAATGCAGGGTTGTTAGAATGCATTTGAACTTAAGAGATCATCATCTTAAAGTAATAATTTTACACACACACACACACACGCACACACACACACATACTCCACAGATAGAGAGAAAGCAAGTTATATATGAACCTCACAAACCAAAACCTTTTAATGGATACACACATCATAAAAGAGAAACTAATCCAAACATGATACCAAACCACAAGGGAAGACAAGAAGGAAGAAAAATGAAAAAGAAAAAAAAGAAAAAAGAAAAAAGGAAATACAAAACTAATTCACAAAGTGTCAATAAAAAGATACCTATCAATAATTACTTTTAATGTAAATGAACTAAATGTTCCAATAAATAAAAATGGAGTGGCTGAATAGGTAAAGAAAATAAGATCTGCATATGTTGTCTGTAAGAGACTCACAAAGACTGAAAGTGAGGGGTTAGGAAGAAAGCTTCCTTGCAACTGGAAACAAAAAGAAAGCTGAGGTAGCAATAATTATACAGACAAAACAGACTTTAAAATGGAGAGTATAACCAGGGATAAAGAATGACATTACATAATGATAAAGGGATCAATCCAAGAAGAAAATACAACATTTGTAAGTATATATGCACCCAAAATAAGAGCAACTAGATACATAAAGCAAACATTTACAGATATAAAGGGAGAAATTGAAAGTAACACAATAATAGAGCAGGACTTTAACAGACCACTGATATCCATAGACAGATAATCCAGACAGAAAATCAAAAAGTATATGTGAGCCATAAATGACACAGTAGATCAGAAGGAATTAGCAGATAATAGAATTTAATCCAAAAGCAGCAAAATACACCTTTTCAAGTATACATGGAATGTTCCCCAGGATAGATCACAAGCTAGAACACAAAACAAGGTTCAATAAATTTTAGGTTGAATTCATGTCAAGCATCTTTTCTGACCACAGTGCTATATAATACTAGAAATAAACTACAAGAAAAAAACTGCAAAAAACAAAAACATGTGGAGGCTAAACAATATGCTGTTGAACAACCAATGGGTCACTCAGGAAATCTAAGAAGAAATAAAAAATAATAACTGGAGAAAAATGAAAACAGAAGCACAATGATCCAAAATCTATGGAACACAGTAAAATCAGTTCTAAGAGGCAAGGTTATAGAATTACAAGCCTACCTCAGGAAACAAGAAAAATCTCAAATAAATAACCTAACCTTACACCTAAAGAAACTAGAGAAAGAAGTCCAAATTAAACACAAATTTAGTAGAAAGAAAGACATAATAAAAAACGGAGCAGAAATAAATGAAACAGAGACAAAAAAGCAATAGAAAGTATCAATAAAACTAAGAAATTGTTCTTTGAAAAGATAAACAAAATTGATAAAACCTGAGCCATATTCATCAGTAAAAGAGAGGACATAATTATATAGAATCAGAAATGTAAGAGAAGTTACAACTGACACCACAGCAATACAAAGGATCATAAGAGATCACTAAAAACAATATATGTCAATAAAATGGACAACCTAGGAAATGGATAAATTCCTAGGAATGTCCAATCTCACATGACTGCATCAGGAAAAAACAGAAAATATGAACAGACCATTTATGACTAATGAAATTAAATCAGTACTAAACAAACCCCCAACAAACAAAAGTCCTAGACCTGATGACTTCACAGGTGAATTCCACCAAACATTTAAAGAAGAGTTAACAACTATCCTTCTCAAACTATCCCACCTCAAAAAAAAAAAAAAAAAACAGAAAGGAAAGGAACACTTCCAGACTTATTCTGCAAGTTCTGCAAGGCCAGCATCATCTTGAATACCAAAACCAGAAAATTACACCTCAAAAAATGAAAAAAAAAATATAGGCCAATATCACAGATGCCAATAGGTACAAAAATCCTCAACAAAATGTTAACAAATTAAATTCAACAATTACTAAAGTATGATCCATCATAATCAAATAGAATATTTCTTATGGATGCAAGGATAGTTCATTACACACAAATCAATCTGATACACCACATGAACAAAATGAAGACCAAAAATGATATGATCTTTTCATGGATGCAGAAGAAGCTTTTGACAAGTTCAATATCCATTTATTATAAAATCTCTTAACAAAGTAGTGGTAGAGAGAACATACCACAACACAATAAAGGACATATATGAGAAACCTATAGCCAACATCATACTCAACAGTGAAAAGCTGAAAGCACTTCCTCTAATATCAAATATAAGACAAGTTTGCCCACTCTTGCCACTTCTATTCAACATCATATTAGAAGTCCTAGCCACCACAATCAGACAAGAAAAATAAATAAAAGTAATCCAAATTGGAAAGGAAGATTTAAAACTGTCACTGTTTGTAGATGACATGATACTGTATAGAGAAAATCTTAAAGACACCATCAAAAGTCTGTTAGAACTAATAAATGAATTCAGTAGAGTTACAGAGCAAGAGAAATTTAGAAAATGGTTCCATTTACAAATGCATCAAAAAGAATAAAATACCTAGGAATAAATCTAACCAAGAAGGTAAAACAGATGTACTTGGAAAATTATAAGACACTGATGAAGGAAATAGAAGATGACACAAAAATGAAGAGTTATATTGTGCCTCATGTATAAAAAGAATTAACATTGTTAAAATGAGCATATTACCTAAGGTAATCTAGAGATTCTATGCAATGCCTATCAAAATACCAATGGTGTTTTTCACAAAGCTAGTACAAAAATTCTAAAGTTTGTATGGAACCACAAATACCATAAATAGTCAAAACAGTCTTGAGAAAGAATAAAGATGGAGAAATCATGCTCCCTGCTTTGAAACTATACTACAGTTACAGTAATCCAAACAACTTGTTAATGGCACAAAAAAAGACACATAGATCAATAGAACAGAATGGAAAGCCTACCCACACTTATATGGTCAATTAATCTCCCAGTAAGATAGGCAAGAATGTACAATAGGGAGAAAACAGCCTCTTCAACAAATAGTGTTGGGAAAACTTGAGAGCTACATGTAAAAGAATCAAACTGGCTTACTTTCTCACACTGTATACAAAAATAACTCAAAATGACTTAAAGACTTAAATGTAAGACCTGAAGCCATAAAACTCCCAGAAGAATCATAAGTAGCATGCTCTTTGACATTGGTTTTAGCAATATTTTTTTGGCTATGTCTCTTCAGACAAGGGAAACAAAGTCAAAAGTAAACAAATGAGACTACAGCAAAGATTTATGCAGCAAAGGAAACTATCAATGAAACAAAAAAGTGACCTACTGAATGGCAAAATACATTTACAAATGATATGTCTGATAAGGAAATATTCAAAATATACAAAGAACTCATACAATTCAACATCAAAGCAAACAACCTGATTAAAAAATGGAGAACTTGAATATACATTTTTTCAAAGAAGACAAACAGGTTGTCAACAGACATATGAAAAGATGGTAAACATCATGAATCATCAGGGATTTTAAAACCAAAACTACAACGAGATATCACCTTACACCTGTCAGAATGTCTATTATCAAAAATACAAGAAATTACAAGTGTTGGCAGGGATGTGAAGAAAAGGTTACCCTGTGCACTGTTTGTAGGAATGTAAATTTGTGCAACCACTGTGGAAAACAATACAGAGGTTCCTCAAAAAGTTAAAAATAGAACTACTATATGTTCCACTTCTGAGTATTTTTCTGAAGAAAACAAAAATACTAAATTGAAAACATATCTACATCCCTATGTTCATTGTAGCATTATTTACAATACTCAATATATGGAAGAAGCCAAAGTTTCCACTGATATTGAGTAGATAAATATGATGAGGTATATAAATAAAATATAATATTACTCAGCTGTAAAAAGAATGAAAATGCCATGGATGGCCCTAGAAGATACTACGCTAAGTGAAATAAGCCAGACAGAGAATGAAGAATACCATATGATTTCACATATATGTAGAATCTAAATACAAGACAAATGTACAAATATAACAAAACAGAAACAGATTCATAGATACAGAGAACAAACTGGTGGATTTCAAAGGGAGGCGGGTGAGGATATGAATAAATTAGGTGACGGAGATTAAAAGGTACAAAATTCTAGTTATAAAATAAATAATTCATGGTGATGTAACATACAACACAGTGAATATAGTCAATAATATTATAATAATTTTGTATGGTAACAGGTTGTATGTAGACTTATTTGGTGATTATTTTGTAATATAGAAAAATATTGAATCACTATGCTATATACCTGAAATGAAAATGATATTGTAGGTCGCTTACATGTCAATTAAAAGAGGACAGAAGTTACTTAAAAAAAGAAATTGAGATCTATGAACCCTCTGATGAAGATTTTAAAATAGTCACTCAGTAACCTTTAATTTTCAACCTTTTGTAGCTCTCTTGACTCAATTAACATAGGTGTTGGTGGTGTTTTTGAAGTGTCTTGCTGGAGTCGTGGGAAGTCTAGGGATACTGTGGTGGAAGAGGCCATGAGAGTGTTGGAAATAGTCATTGTACATGGGATTGTAGTGGTGTTGTAGTGGAAGAACTGCAGGTGAGTACAGTGGATGTGTGACCAAAAATGTTAAGTGAAACCACTGGTGTAACCAGAAAAGCAGATGTTCAGCAGAAGTCATGGGTGGACATGTAAGTACACAAAATCAGAAAGTCATAGGGAATAGGCAAGGGCGAGCAGTATAATTGGGGAGTATTTCTAGGCAGGGTTTCTGTCCGGTTCTGACTGCACATTTTGCCTGCTGTAATGGGGAAACATGGTGCAAAGCTGCAGTCAGCAGAGGACATACAGTTTGACAGACATCTTGGTATAGGAAATATCAGCAGAAGAACAAAGGATTCCAGTGGAATCTCTTATTTCATTAGGGCAGTACATTTAATCCATTGTTCCTGGATAGTCTCAGTCCCCATTGTGTTGTCTCACTGAGTTTGCTGTGAACTCAGTAGTAAGGCCATCTGGGTGGGTGGCTAGGTCTCTGACTCGTGATATGTCTCTGGGGAGTTATCTCTGGTGTAGGGACATAAGTCATCTTCATTGATGAACTCTTAGGCTGGGGTGATGCTGTCTGGAAGAGCATTCCCTCCAGTGATGAGTCCATCTCACTCAGCGGTGAGGATCTCTAAAGCATTGGCCCCTTAGGGGATGGGGTCCTCTCATGGAGTTATCCAGTTGGGGTAGTGGTCATGGGCTGAGGGTAAGCTTGTCTTATGTAACTTGAAGTCATCTCTGAGGACATAAATTTTTTAGAGCTTCCTGTAGTCATCAGCGGCAAATTTATCAAAGGGATGGGTGACTGCCCTTTCACCCTCCAATGAGCTCATTAGAAGCATATATTCAGATTCTGGGTACATGTATCCAGGCTAAGGGAGACCTCATGGATGCTATTTAGACATCTCTTGGACAAGACTGTGAGGACGATGGATAAATCATGGGAACAAAGTACCTGTAACTAGCTGAGTTTTATGTATGGGCAATCAGGGTGCCAGTTAGTTTGTAGAAATATTTGATGTAAATAAATTGGGGGTGCCAAGTATCATTTAAACAGCATGTCCAGAAGAAGCCCTGTGTGTGAAGTGATTTAATCCTTTTGCCACTCAGACTTAGTGGCACACCTTCCTGAGCCCTTCCAACAGGGCTTTGCCAACATTTCCTGCTTTTCTACCCTGTAGAGCAATTGCATTCTGAAGTGGCATTGTTCCAACGCTGATCCTGGGTGATGGTTAGTCCCAAGGGATCTACCAGTAACTCAATCACCCAGGCAGCACACATCAGTAAGAATAGCCATAGCTGTACAGAGCACTGCCATTAGATGAGCTTAGGCCAGGCTCCTTCTAGATGAGTTACGTGTATGTTGACTAGTGACTGAGTGTGATTGTTCCTGGCAAGAAAGTCATGGGTTACCTCATCCAGCATGGGGTAAGGATAAGACTTGTACTTTTCTTGCCATGCTCTCATCTTCAATATGCTCATGTCTACCAATAGTTTCTTTCCCTCTTTTAGACACCCAAACTGTGCAACTCGTTGCTCTTGAGGCAATGGTTTCCACTTCCCATAAATTAGTAGAGAGATTTAGTTTCATTAGCCAGTCCTTGTAGCCACTACACTGAAGACAAGCAGTTACCATAGAGGTGGCTCCTTTTGGAGAGTCCTTAAAATTGCCAGGGTTTCCAAAGACATGTTTTTGGACTAACGTGTAGGCTTTGGTACTGAGGGACATTCAATGATGAGAAGATAGTATTGGACTATCTGGTCTGATCAGGTGACCAGTGTGAAGTAGTTTGTAAAATGATCCAAAAATCATAAGAAGGGTAAGTCAAATCAGAGAATAAAATAAAAACAACATTGCCTTGGATAGTAAAAGCTTAAGGTTTGCCAGAGATGACAAAAAGTAGAATTTTAGGGGGTGTGTAATAGATGGTATGTGTGGTATGAAGGCCCTGGGGGACAAGAATTAAGCAAGAGCAAACTGGGGCAAAAGTTTGGTCCAGGGGCTTCCCTGGCGGCGCAGTGGTTGAGAATCTGCCTGCCAATGCAGGGGACACGGGTTCGAGCCCTGGTCTGGGGAGATCCCACAGGCCGCGGAGCAACTAGGCCTGTGAGCCACAACTACTGAGCCTGCGTATCTGGAGCCTGTGCTCCGCAACAAAAGAGGTCGTGATAGTGAGAGGCCCACACACCACGATGAAGAGTGGCCCTCGCTTGCCGCAACTAGAGAAAGCCCTCGCACAGAAACGAAGACCCAACACAGCCAAAAATAAATAAATAAGTTATAGTATCTTTGATTGATAGTCCAGCCTCACCCTTGGGAAAAAAAAAAAAAAGTTTGGTCCATTTTGAGGTCCCCTTGGTGGAAAGTAATTTAAGTAGTGTGTCTTTAAGAAGGCCATTATGATGCTCAATGAGACCAGCCATCTGGGGGCTGTAGCTGAAATTGAAGTTCCAAAGAGAGTCCACTGTTGAGTCTCCTGAGATGAAGTGCGTACCTTGGTCAAAATCTGATCTCCAATATCTGGAGATTAAAGAAAGAGAATAAATTTAATAAGAACAGAGATTTACTGTTTTGAAGAGGAATTCCAAGTGTGAGTTTCCAAAAAAGAGTTCTGTGTAGGTATTGATTATTACGCTGGTCAGCAGTGTACCTGGAATCCAGCAGGGGGAGAGTGGATCAATGAAGTCAATCTTCTGGTGGGAGTATGGTCAGTCTACCCAGGGAATGTGTCCCCATTTGGGTACCCTCTGTTGTTTGGTTTGGGAGCAGAGAGTACATTCCTCTATCACAACTTTGGTTGCTACAGAGGAGAGAGGGATGCCCTTCACAGGAGCCCAAATTGTTAAGGCATGGATTCTCCTGTGACCTGTGACCCAGAGGTTGTGTGGGCCAATTTAATGACCTGATGGGAAGGGTCAGGACCTTTAGGAGCTTGTACCAGGCAGAGTGTGGAGGGCTTAGTGAGCGAGTTTGCAATGTTGTTGAAAATAAGGTTAATAAGAGCAGAAGTTTGGGTAACAAACTAGGAATCAGGGACTCTGCTAGTTCCTTCCTTATATAGGCACCTCAAATGGGCTTGCCTTGTATGAGAAAATTGTCCTTCAGCCATTGGTTAAATAAACTGCAAGGCCCTTAGCAATAGCCTAGGAGTTTGTGAAAATGTGGATCCGTGAAAGGCCTCTTTTAATGGCCTCCTTGAGGACTAGTAAACAGCTACAAGTTCCACCAATCAGCCAGAGTCAAGAGTGTCCTCTTCAACTAAACATTCCACCTGAGCTCAGGTGGAATGCTGTGGCCCTCCAAGGAGCTGCCAGAGAAAGGAACATTTACTCCCTGACCAGCTCAAACAGTTGGCACCAAGGCACTCCTCAAATATCCAGAGGAGAAGAAAGCAGGGGTGCTGATATCAATTCTCCAAGGCTCTCAGCAGGGGACTGAACATGGGGGAAGCCACAGTCTCTGTAATTGGAGAGGCCTTCAGTGTTAGATTTAGCCTTCTTCCATTTTGCCAAAGATGCACCAGTGGCTGTGCTGACCTTCTGTGCTGAGGCATCTCTAACATAGAGCATTATAGGAACTTAGGTATGGGGTAGTATTGTGTGGGATCTGGTTAGGGCCTTGATTTGTAGAAGACTCACATAAGATGCCAAAAGTTGGAGCTCAAGGGAATATACTGGGCTGCCACAGGGTGTAGGCACTTAGTCCTAAACCACATAGGAAGCCAGGTAGATTCATGTTTGGTCCAGAGAGTCCAGGGAGGTACAGCTGGGTGTGGCCAGGGCTCAATTCTCAATGTGGAGCCAGGTGAGACTAAAGGTAAGTCTTGTTGGACTGTCTATTTGCAGCTTCTAAAGAGCACTGTTGGGCCTTGCCCCAATGGGAGGTTGCAGACATGCATGTGGTTTCATGGGCAAGGAATTAGTGAGACATGAAGGGTGTGCTGCCTTCATAATATGAAAAGGCCTAGTATGTGTGGTGCCCACTGAGTGTAGTGTAGTATAGTGGGTTTGATAGTGAAAAGTTGATGTTGGTGGCTGGGGGGATCTCTTGGTCCTTGGAGGGTCAGGTGATGCTCAGAAAGGTGGCAGATGAAGCTGGGCCTTGGATCTTGTCAAGGGGGATTGGCTAACCACATTGGTGAACATGATGTGTGAAGGTGTGCAAATCTGCCTGTACTGCTTCCTCAGAGATCCCTCTGCATAATGCCATCAATATATTGTCAAAAATGGCAATTTTCTGATTGTAAAGTGTTTATATCAAGGCAACAGATATTACGTGTGATTGCAGTGCTGTTTAAGTATCCCATTGGGAACCATTTAAATGTGCACCAAACCCCTTCAAAAGTGAAAGCAAATCGGACCTGTGATTTCTCCACGATGGGAACAGCATAGAACATACTAGCTAGGTCAGTGACTGTGAAGTCTCCTTGGGCCAGTTTTGTGTCCTCAATCTATTCTATAATTTTAGATATTGGAGCCTTAATAGCAGGAACTGTACATTGAAGTTTCTATAGTCAGTGAGGAAATGCCTCTAGTTGGTGGCTGGCTTAAGTTTTGGGCAAAAGGGACTTTTGAAAGTGGACATTGTGGGTTTAATCACTCTTGTCCCAAGCATATCTTTAAACACAGGTGTAGACCTTCAGTGCCTTATTTAAGTCAGTATTAGGGGGTATTTATCATCTTGGCCAGAGGAGGAAGAGTCACCATTGCCCATCTGCAAGGCCCACCATGAAGGCCAAGCACTTGGTCTTGTTCAATTCAGGATGGTGTCACACAAATGCATCTATGATCTATGCCTATATGATAAAGAGAAAGCCAAGTCAATCACCACCAGCAGAGGCTGTTTAATGAAAGCATGTGCCCAGGTCCTACCCCTCTCTATGTCTACACTCTGCCTTGACCTCCCTGTGTAGACCCTTGAGGTATGTGGCTCCTTGAGGCCTCTTGGGGCCCTGTACTTTATTCAGGACCTGTGAGCAATAAACTTCCCTATTTCAATTTCTCCTGTGGTCTTCAGTTGAATAATTGCTCACCATTCAGCACCCTGTGTTCCACTAAACAAAAACTAGTGAATATTACAAAAAATAAACAGATATAGAGAAAATACTAGCAGTTACCATGGGGAGAGGTGTGGAGGAGAGGGGCAAAAGAAGAATAGGGAATTAAGAGGTACAAACTACTATGTATAAAATAAATAAGCTATAAGGATATATTGTACATCCCAGAGAATATAGCTGATATTTTACAGTAATATAAATGGAGTATAACCTTTAAAAATTGTGAATCTCTATGCTGTACATCTAAAACATATAATATAGTACATCAACTATACCTCAAAAAAAAAAAAAGTTAAACTACAACAACAACAGCCAAATGTTAATTTGGCAGTCATAACAGTGGTATGTAGTTTGATTAGATCAGCCACAATCTTTGTTCTTTGTTATGTCCCTTTGTCTCATAAGAAAACAAAATTTGCCTGGAATGCTACTTTTGATAACAGACTGTATGAGTTTCCATGCCTTTAAGTGATCTGTATTTACTTTTGAAATCTTTTTTTCACCTTAGCTCAAGAAATAATTGTTTCACAGTGACCTATGATTCTATCTGACTGGGTGTTTTAAAACTTCTTGAAATTTTTGACAGACTTCCCAAATACCAAATTCTAATTAAAGTTCTTTTGACCTCCAGCTAACTTTGGGGTGCTTCAAAGGGCCCTTGGAAAATCCCAAAGAGAGATCCTAAACTAATTGGGTTCGTATGTTAAATGATATGGGAAACACTATCCAATCTCGCTGTTGCCTATGTCAGATGGAATCATCAGGCTTTCCCCAAATTTATCACAGCCACCAAACAGATAAGGGAAAGGATTTTGGGTTCTTCTGCTGTCTAGTCTTTCACCTTACTCTATGTTCAAAAAATCCCCTGTGGGAATACTCCCATCTCTATGCCCTCAGGTTCTGATGCCCATGGCATTTTCCAAGGTACCCAACTCCAATTCCTCCAAGAGTCCCTTTTTGCACCTCCAGGACCCTCTTGATTCCAGGCTTTGGCAGCCCATACCTTTTCTACAGACTACCTATTGGGCTGGCCACTTCCAAGCAGCCCACATACTAGGCTTTATAGATGCTCAATCTCGAGAAATACAACCCAACATCAGGAAATTTTTAAAAAATTTTTTTTCTTTTTTGCTGTACGCAGGCCTCTCACTGTTGTGGCCTCTCCCATTGCGGAGCACAGGCTCCAGACGCACAGGCTCAGTGGCCATGGCTCATGGGCCCAGCTGCTCCGCGGCATATGGGATCCTCCTGGACCAGGGCACAAACCCGCGTCCCCTGCATCGGCAGGCAGACTCTCAAACACTGAACCACCAGGGAAGCCCCAGGAAAATTTTTATAGGACATAAGCATTATAGATAACAGATCGACCTCACAGAAAGTCTTGACAACACACTGGCACTGGTTCGAATGTTCACTAATGGGGAC